TTTCAGACCACGTGTCATTCCCTTGAGAATAAGATTCTTTGTTTGAGTGGAATCCACATTCATTTTTACCATAGCTTGGAAATTTCTCGCGCGATGATTGGCTTAGAACCATTGTCGATTAGAGGCTAGACCTGCTTGTGCTTGTAAAAAGGACACGAAAACCTTTTCCTAATTCGAGAGACTAAAAGGCTTTGGATCTTAAGCCTTACTTCAAGTCTCGTTGAAACGTTTTAGGAAATGAGTACGGCCCGGGAACTTCGCCTTTTTACACAACTTATTTTGCAAGGCCGTTGAACAAAAGATTGAGTTAAAATTTTTAAATTAAGTAACGAAAGCTAAACAAAACTTTTAATTGAATCTTTAMACTTAAATAAATACTATTTTTGTCTATAATTTAACCTCATAAACTTAGGAAAACTTTTTTAAACTTTGAGAATTTGCGAATTAAAGGAATTTCAAATTTTGCTCAGTTTAGTTTAGTTGGGCATTTTTTAATTCAGCTGCGTGGGAAGCTTAGAAATAACTTGCAAATTAACACTACAGATCTTCATCATTAACTGAACAAGTTTTGATTCACAAAGTATAATAGACAATACTAAACAAAAAGAAAGTTTTTTAATAAGATTTACGAAAATGTCAAAGACAAGACAAGATTTTATTGAGTTCTGTGGTTAGAGTTATTTAATGGATTAAGTCTGACAAGAAAAGGGTGTACTTCGGCGCCACGTTTCGCGTTAATCAAGATTTCAAGACGCTTGGTAATTATGATAATTAAGTTTATTGTGGCGGGAAAATCATGCCAAGTTGACCACAGTGGAGATAAGCGTCTAGCACGTGTTAAATGCTTTCGGAAAGTAGCCCTTTTAAAGTGGGTTTTACAAGATTTAGGGAAGTTTGTCCTTGATTTGACGTTTAAATGGCTTCCCCACTCAATCAAAACGCCGGAACTGAACTTCAACCAATCAAAATTCTTGTACTGAACACAGCATGGTTTGGTTGGATTTGCTCTTAATTTATCCTTCTAAAAATAATCGCCTTTCAGTTTCAARACAATGCCGAATGGAGATAATGATAGCATACGATAAGGCGGACTTAATGTACTTTCTTATCGGATGAATCGATCTTGTCAGTTTGATTTATTCTTATTCACGTAGGACGCTTCTTCTACTTTGTTTTAAATACACAAAAAATGCGAAAGTTTTTTGTAAAAGTTATCGATAAATTTAAAAACTTTTTACAAGTGAAACTGGGAATCCTCGAAAAGCGCTCTCTACACGAGTAAGGATAACGTTTTGAAATGTCATTTCAAAGTCATTTTTGTCATAATTACAGAAGAAGAAAACAATTGGATACAAAGAAACTCGTTCATAAATTTTAACAAGTATTTTTATTACATTAATTYAAAACGGAACAAAAATGAAAAGTGTATCAAAATATATTAAATTTTTAGTCRCGCATTTAGGCATAGTTTTAATGATAGTCTCATATGGCTCAAATTTATACAAGATTTATTTAAACGGGAGTAAAATATGTAAATATCTTTTTTGTTTCGCATCATGAATAAACGGGCCACTTTTACGAAACCAAGTGATCTTTGAAAAAGAGACAATATAAATGAAAAATACAACCACAAATCTTGAACAACTAATTATAGAAAAGTTCGATGAATTTTTACAAATGTTTTTGAAATGTGTACTTTTGTACATGTTACTTTTTCCATTATTTTGGCCTAGAGGTTAGGAAAAAGAGATAGTTAAATGAAAAATACAGCCACAAATCTTGAACAATTAGTGGTAGATAAGTTAGATTAATTTTTACAAAAAATTTAAAATGAGTACTTATGTACATCATGTTACTTTTTCCATTATTTTGGCCTCCAAAGACTCTTATTAGCGAGATGTTTTCATTTTATGGCAGTGTGTGCGTATAGAATTACACGCTACATACAAACAGCCCCTCTGCAGTTTGAATCGGAATTACCTAGCGAAACTCAAATCATTGGATGATACATACATGAAATAAGAAAGAATAAAATAAATGAATAAATTTAGAGGTTTTAACAGTGGCATTTCCACAGAGTGGCTCTTCATTTGTTGAATTCTAATTGGAAGTTAGAAGTTGATTTTTGTGGAGGGAGGAAAACCGACGAAAAACCCTCGAAGCACAAGAGAGAAACAACAAGCAAATCTCTCACAAACGACACAAACGAGTCCTGGCATCGAACCCTGGTCGCCACCCGTGCTTAAGATGATCTGCATCAGGCATGAAGACTTCGCATGTCAACTCGCCCCAAGGCGCTAATTCGGTAATTTGTTCTGCGATAGTCAAAACAGCAAATCTTACAGCATTTTAACATGAGCTATTATAAAGCTTTTGTCTTCCAGGATACATCAGTCCGTTTGTATAGACAACAGAATATTTCATGACGAGACAACTGCAAATGTCTACCTCTCACAAAACCCATTAAGATTAGAGTGTATGGTACTATAATAGTTTTTATCTTAAAAGTCCTTTTTTTTTTTTACATTTTTCAATGATAAGATGCTTTTGTTAGCTTATAGAAATGTGGCCTTCATTTTTGACATTTTATTTGAACTCATGGCAGATCGAATAGGAGTGAAGCTTGTACTGCAGAGGGAGCAAAACCGGTGATACCCGGGCAAAAACCCTCAAATCAGCTATGGATCAACCTCGTTCCCAGGGCCCTCTCACGCAGAGGAGACTGAGAAGACCCTGGCGTTGGCTCGTCAAATAAAGGTTTTGATTGGTTTACTTGATCTTGAATTTTGATTGGTTGTTGCTTTGTTACAAATTTTTTCCCACACGACGAAGCACTGTTAAAAACTCAACCGGTTTATTCGAGTTGAAAGCCATATTTAATTTATGCTTATTCAATGTGCCCGCATTCCTCCAGTTATTTCTTCAGCGGTATTTTAAAAACACCCGAATCTGCTGGGTGTCTGATTTGTCACGTGACCAGCCAACTCCAGGGTCTTATCTCCTTTGCGTGAGAGGGCCCTGGGAACGAGGTTGGCTATGGATTATACACCTATTTCAAAAAACTACGGTCGCAGAT